AGGGGCACAATTTCTCCTGTTATCTGAGAAATTATTTCTGATTTCATTTTTTCCAGATCCCCTTTTGTTGCCAGTTCAGTGGGTCCAGGTGGTTGAGTATCAGAGTGTTCCATCTCATTTCCCTTTGTGGTTGCTGTAGGTGATCTGCAAGTCTGGTTTTGAGACTTATTTACATGTTTTCTCATGTCGACTGGGCCAGGGGGGCTGTTAGCACCTGCACAGATTACCTCCTCTGAGCTGAGTGAGGTGGAACAGTGGCCGGGAGCAGCGGTAGGGATGGTGACCCAAAAGCCCTTTCCTGTGGTCTGGGAGCAGCCGGAAGGATGGTGGCCAGGAAACCCTTTCCTCTGGACCAGGAGCAGTGGGATGGTGGCTCAGAAGCCCCTCCTTCTGGGCTGGGAGCGGTGGGAGGGATGGTGGCCCGGAAGCCCCTTCCTCTGGGCCAGGAGCAGTGGGACAACAGCTCAGAAGCCCATGCCTCTGGGCCGGGAACAATGGGACTCAGTACCTTGGTCTGGTCCTCTGCGTCTTTGTAGTGTGGAATCAGGTGGCTGCCTGTCTGCAGCGGGGTGATTCGGTGTCTTCCGCGCGACTCAGGACCTCAGTAGAGTGTGCACAGACCTGCCTGTCTGCAGCGGGCTGATTTGGCGTGTGTTCCCTGTGACTGGGGACTTCGGTAGGGTGTGGACAGACCTGCCTGTCTGCATGGAGGTAATTTGGCTTCTTCGGGACTCAGGACCTTGGTAGGGTGTGGGCAGACCTGCCTGTCTGCATCGAGGTGATTCGGCGTCTTCTGCGCGACTCAAAAATAGTCTTGATGAGAGAACATCGTGGCCTCTGCCTCACATTCCTTCAAGTTCAGTTTATATTTGAGAATCCTAAACTCTCTAGTTCCTCTTCTACAAACTGCATTGGCTGTGGCCTACACAATCACCATCTCACTGGTGCAAGGTGGGAACAGCGGGAGGAGATGTACCATTCCAGTCCTGCTATTTTCAATCTCCTGGTCAGTAGCTTTGTAAGAATCTAGGATCTCAAGGAACCAAGGCTGACACTGAAAGGCTTGCTCCACCCTTTCTACTTACTCCTCTTTCAAAAAAAGCAGCAGTTTGGCCTCATTCCACAACAGGGCTGCAACACTAATCTTTTCAATGGTAACTTGTATGATTTCAGTGGCAAAATGCAGCTAGACTTTGTGCTCACTTGGACAGAGATTTGCAAGGTGCTAATGGAGGAACTGCCAGAATTACAGCATGAAATCACAAGGGGTCTCAAGTTAGCTTAAAATCCTTTCGGCTATGTATTCCCAGTCTTTAAACAATGCTGCAAACTGTGGGAAAATGAAGGTGGCTCTCTATAATTCCTGAATCTGGGGTTTGGGTGGGAAATGTGGCTTTAGGGGAACAACGTTAGAGGCACAGTAATTGAAGAGGCAGCACACTCTAACAGGTGAAGGGTCACGCTGGATTTTCTGTCCCTTCGCTCTTTACCAGCCAGGTTCTGGAGCTGGCCTGACACTTCAGTTCTCAGTGCTCTGGTTTTCTTTTTTGTAAGATGAGATTCATACCATTAGCTTTCTAAAGTTCTGTATGAGTGTCTATGAAATATTTTTATTCTGTGCTGGTATCACAGAAATCCATAGACTGGGTAATTCACAAGGAGCAGAAATGCCTTTGGCTCACCTTCTGGAGTTCAGCAAGCCCAAGATCAAGGGACCAACCCTGATGGTTGCCAAGCACTAGCACGGCAAGCAGAAGCCATCACATGGTGAAAGAGGATCACATAGTTTTCTAATAAACCTACTCTAGCAAGAGCTAATCCGCTCCCACTGTAATAACAATCCATTCATGAGGGCCGAGCCGATTGACCTAATCACCTCTTAAAAGTCCTACCTCTCAGCACTTTTGCATTAGGGTTTACCTTTCTAGTGCATGAACTTTGGGACATACAACCACAGCACCTAAAAATGGATTTATTAATAAGGTGCATACACAAAGACCATGAACAGAAAATTTATAAGAAAAATACCTCAAAAAGAACATTTTCAAAGAAAATCTCACATTGAGTTTTTCCTTGAGTATATTAGTGTCATTGTTGACTGACTATAAGTGACACTGAGATATTATAAAGCTGATAAAAGCTAAGTGACTATCAGTTGGGTTTGTTGCTTGGTAATCTTCATGAAGGTAGTAAGGTAGCTAGCTTGATTTTTTTTTTCTTTTTGGGGGGGAACCCACATCTCAGTGTCAGTAGGGCCATTCTCTTGCTCTAGCCAGTCTTCTAGAGAAGAATTGTCCTTACTTCTGCCCAGGCTCAGTGCTAGCATTCTGTGACCTCAGTGGAGGTAGGGCTAGACATCTCACCATTCAGAATGTGGTATTAGCCCTGTTCTGGGAAGACTTCACCTCTTCCATTTTCAAGTACTCCTGTACTCCTTTGCCCTCATGTCCCTGGGATTGAAAACTCTCCTGTCAAAGTCTACCACACAGTAAATCTCCATTCCTTTGCCTGGGTTGGAAGAGATGAGGCCCTTTCAAACAATGTTGCTGTTTTCAGCCTCCTGTCTCCCCTGTGTTCAACCCCAATTTCTGAGCCCTTTCCTTCAAATCTACTTGTTAGAGGGTAATGGGGTGTACCACCCTGGCAGCTACATTTTGATTGAGGCTCTTATTTTCCTCACTGTGGGGAGTGTTGGCTAATGAAGGCTTATGACCAGGCTCCTCCCCAGGAAATGGCCCCGAGAGAAGGAAGCTGCCTCCCCAAAGACTGTCTTAAGGTGTGAGCCCCTTGCTTCCACTTTGGGGCCACTCTGAAGAGTCTCCTGTGAGGTTAGCTGACGTCATTGCAGCTTCACTTCTATGTCCAGTCCTGTTTTCACAGTCTCGCAGGAGTGGTTCCTAAGAGCTCTGCCCAGTAACTTTCCAGCCTCAGAGTTCCGTCTCTGGATGGGTTTCACAGGAAGCCTAATCTGAGATGTTGCTCAGCAATCTGGCTCTTTCTTCTGCATTTCATATTCCAAAGGTTTATTGGCATTTCTCATCTGCTATTATCTCTTCTCCTATATTCTTTGACTTTATGAATTTATGCCTATTTTCTTCCTCTACTCTCATTCTGCTGATATTTTTACAAGACATTGGGTATCTGTATTTGATCTGTTGTGTTTAATTAGAAGTCTGAAAACATGTGTATAATACTTATGGAGCATATAATGAACCACCCAGCTTCATAAAGGTCATGTGCAAAATACAAAAATTGACTTCATTTTGGCTAGTATTTGAGATGGAATACTAGGGAATGAGACACCATAAGTAGATATGACTGATCCAGATCATCCGTGAAGAACTAGAGTGGCTCCCATGTTTCCATGCCCCCACCCCAGACCTCTGGACGGGCCAAGGAAAACACACCAAACTGAGCTTACTCTCTTTCCTCTCCAGGTATGTGCATCTGCTGCTCTCTTAGCCAAAATGTCCTTCACTCATTTCACCTGGCTGAATCCTCCTAATCTGTCAGAACCTAACACAGAATGTCGTAAACCTGACATGCTTAACATTTGTTTGGGTGTCTCTTTTGTGTATCCAAAGCAGCCCATGCCATTTTCACAGCAGCACTTAATACACTAGGATTGTCATTGTCTGTGACTCTGAGCTCTTTGAGAACCTCAGGCCCAAAGAGTAGAGTCCCAGTTATGAGTGGGATTCTCCTATCCAGCCCTCACCCAAACCTGGGTGAACTAGAAACAAGACACTAGAGCAAAGGAGTTGGTCCATCCTAGTGCTATTGAATCAGGGTGGCAGAAATGGAAGAAAAGATGCTAGGGTACCTATTGTGGAGAAAAGGCAGAAAAGAGGAGGCCTTGCATTAAAAAATCATTATTGCTAGACTGAAATTGCAAAAAGCTACAAAAAAAGAAACTCCTCAAGATCCTGTAATATCAAGAAGCACTATTGCTAACACTTAAATCTTGGGGATTTCTTAAAGACCTTTACATGTTTTAACTCTCTCTCTTTTTTTTTTTTTTTTTTGAGACAGGGTCTTGCTTTGTAATCCAGGCTGGCTTTGAACTTGGAACTCAAAGTGAACCTCCTGCCTCAGCATCCCAAGGACTGGGATTACAGGGGTGCACCACAACACCCAGCTGTTTTAATTCATTTTATCTTTACAACATTCTTATGAGGTGGGTGCTTATTCATATTTTATAGATGAGGAAACTGAGCCACAGAATACTTGCCTGAGGCCATTCATCTCATCTAGGAAGTGATTGTGTGTGTGTGTGTGTGTGTGTGTGTGTGTGTGTGTAGAATGCCTAGAAGGCAGAGCCAACTGACCACAATCACTGGGAACTAAACCTCTCCAGGCCTGGTTGCAGGGTCTTGGTGGCCTACACTCAGCTGTTGGGCCTTGGTGTATAGAACTAGGACGAAGGGCCCAGTATCCTTTAGGAATCAAGTCAGAGCTAATGACTCACCCCATACAAGGCCCAGAGGTTCAGGAACACATCACAAGATGCTGAGACACATCTTAAACCCTTGCCAGCTGACCCATCTGGAGTGGGAGCTCTAAGCATGAAAGAGGGAGACAGGGAGGAGCCCCAAATGTGCGGGTCAGTGAGAACTGATGCAGAGATCACTTCCAAGGCCAACCTGGGATGATTGAGTAGCAGGACTGAACCCAACAACAGGTTCTCAGGCAGGGAGGAGAGCGCTTTGCCCAGCCTCTCCCTGGCCCTCCCTTGGGGTCTTACATCAAAGGGTGTTTTCTCAGGGTGTCCCACCCCTAAGTGTGGGAAGCAGGAGAAAGGAACCAGCCACCAAAACTTCCTGGGGCAATCTCCTTGCTGGTCCTCTGAATCTATTCAAAGGAAAGGAGTTTGTAAGCAGGCCATGAAATTTTTCCCACTTGACTAAGCGGAATTTTCACACTTGGTAACTATTGAATTTGTGGTGTGGAATCATTTGTTCCATGGCTATCTTTCCCACTGGGCCATAAGTTTCACAGTAGAGGGAGGAGTGTCTTGTTCACTGGTGTCTAGAACGGTGCCTGCTATACAGGTGGTGCCCAGGACAGGTGTGTTACATGGTAAACTGTGCCTGGAGTCCACATTCTAGCCCTAATTTAGGGACTGGTGTGAACAAACCTCTCCCCACCCTGTAGAGAACAGGAACTGGATGAGGATGCTCTGGTGCCTCATCCCCTAATGTGCACTTGCACGTGTGCACACACATACACTCGCACACGCACACACACTATCTGGGCCTCCCCATGGATTTGCATTTGCAGGGCCAGCAAAAGCAGTTGCTCAGGTCTCTTGGGCCTCAGACTCCAGTAAGAGCTCAGGTGTCAGCAGCTGAACAGGATCTCTAGGGATCATTTGGAACTAAAGCACTCAGATGAGAAATTTGAGAGGTTGGGGATGGGTTAAGCCTTTGAGAGGAAAAGTCAGTAATTTAGGAGAAAAACAACTGGGACAAAGGGCAGGAGGAAGTGTACTGGCTCCTAGTCAAATTGGCCCTCTTCCAGGTTTTTATTTCTGGTGTTTGGTGGTTAAATAAAAAAAACCTTATAAACTTAACTCCAGGTAGAAAAAAAAATACAACTATTTCAAATATTGATGCTGGATAATCCCTTCAAACCTGGCAGGGAGACCACCAGCAGTGCAGGAAGGAGGAGGCCCAGCAGGGGGGACGGGAAGCTGAGCCCCTATAGCCCCCAGGTTTGGAATAGTCTCTTCCCCATTCTAGGTGTGGGTTTTACTGTTCATCTATTCACCTCCCACAAGATTTTAAGGACCAAAGGACAAAAAGCCAATTTGTCAGCCTATAGTCTCATTGATTCTTCTTCTTTCTAGACTTTCACATGGTAACATTCAGGTTTGACATTTGATGACTCTGTCTCTCTTGGCAGAAATAATGTATAAGTAAGTAAGTATTTTTCAAGTGGAAATGAATTAAAAATAATTTTTTTAGATCAACATAAAACATGACAGCTACCAAAAAGAGCATTAGCAAAGCTTATGAGCAACAGTTCACTATAAGAAAACAAGTGCCCCATAAACATCTGAAGAGGTTTTCACCCCTAAGCGTTGTTAAAGAAATGCAATCAAAGCAATAAGGTACCATTCTGTCCCTTATGAGTTATAATGGATTTTTTGAAAAACAATGTTATTTGTCAATTTTAACTATTGGAAAAACAGTCAACTGAAATACTTGTAGAAGTGGGACCTCAGTCCAGTGACTGAACACAATATTTTTAACAACACATATTTTTCCACAAACAGCCATAATAACAAGCTATAAGATATAATGAAAAAGATCCCATGCACAGTAGCAATAACAACAAAATTAAAGATGCACAGAAATTTATATAACAAGAAATGAGAGACCTATATGAATATGAAGAAAGCATTCGTTTTTGTATGTATGTGCTCGGGATTGAACCCAGGTCCTCGTGCATGCTAAGTATGCACTACACCACTGACTTATACTCTTAGCTCCTCACAAAACATTCTTTATTGAGAGACATTGAAAACAAGAGAGGTCACATCTAAAAATATTTAGATGAGTTAAATTTAAATGTAAATATGAAATCATAAAAGTTCTAGAAGATAGGTCATCATGTAGTTCTGAGATAGGAAGACTTTCCATGAATATCACTACATAAAAAATTCTTTTCAATGTATTGGTAAAGACAATACTAAAACTAAAAGGTAAACTAATAACTATAATATTAATCTGTAACATTAAGATAAAGCATCATTGGCATTACTTTTGTTATGAAACATTTATTAACATCTATTTTAAGGGAGCACTTTTTGGGCAAGTGTAAGATGTGATCTAGGTTCTTATTTCTCAGCATCCAATAGCTCTATGGGTTTTCATCAACTTCAAAAAAAACTATCAAGATTTTTTTACAGATGCCTTTCACACTTCTTTGTTTAGAAAGTAAGCATTTCCTTTCTCACCCTCATGAGCAGCCTTGCTTCATTCTTCAGACCTGAGCATAAATGAAACCTTCTCAGAGAGGTCTAAACCAGTCTAATTCAATGTTCTCCCCACCCACAATGTGTGCATTTCCTTACAGCGTGACTGTAAGCATTCTGTGCCATGGCCAAGCAGGTAGCTCTTAACTGTGGGGTGAATGAAGACACCATCATCTAGGTGTTAGGAATGTTGAAGGAAATAAAACTATGTCCCCACTCTCCTGAAGCTGGGCTGGAGGGATTGATTGATTGCTTAAATGAATGGGTAGATGAATGAATAGGGTGGGATAAGCCTTTTTTGATAGTATTCTTTAAGGATTGCCTACCTGGTTTTTGCCTCATCCAGAGACCAGAATCTTAACTTGAATCAAGTGTCTTTATCTAACTCTACCCTAGTCAATATCCACAAGCCCAGCCTCAAGCCAAAGAGAACAAAGAAACAAAGAAGCACAGTTCAGTGGAGAAATTGTTGACAAGGATTTTCTTTTATCCTCCTGTCTTTTGACATTTGAAGGAGTCCAACTTATAATCCCTATAGGACTTTATTTCTCTCCTGTCTATTCATTTCCCTCCTATTGCATAAGAACCTAGATCCATTTAGAAATTTCTTCACCAAGTCTCTCACCCCCTTCTCTTCAACCCAACAACCTCATTTCCAAGCCCACCTCTAACACTTTTCCTTGTCTTTTCCCACTCCCCAAACCTCCAGCTCTGAATTTCATGATACCAGATGATACTTGCAACTACCTCTCCTTGTTTCAGCCCAGTCCCCTTCTTACTTGTGGATCTCTCTCTCCCCCCTAGCCACCTCCATTATTCCTATGATGCACCCTGGCAGGTCCTGGCTCTCTCATCATCTCTGTCTTCACATGTTGGAATGCTTTGGGGCTCAGTTTCTCTGATGCTTTCTCTACACTTACTCTCTAGGGCCTAAGAGATGCCATCCAATCACATGGCTTGTTTTCTTATCCACAGATTAACAGCTCGTTTATATCTCTTGCCTGGACCTCTCCCGAGTTCTCCCCATCTCTATAACGTACCTGTATTCTTCCAGTTGCTCAGCTCCTAAACCTTAGTGTCACTCTTGACTCCTTTCATTCTCTTATAACCCACATTAACGGGTCAGAAAATCTTGTCATTCCAGGATCCATCCTCTTGTCAACACTTCTACACATCTCCCCCTCCTCTCAACCACAGTGTCATGGTGCTTGGATTAGTGCCAAAGCCCCTGTAGCAGAAACCCAGGATTTCTCACCCCAGTGCATTAAATATCACTTGGGTAGACAAGATATCCTCCTGGCCCTCCCTAGGAAAAGAACTGTTGGATTTTCCAGTCTTATGTACCTTAGCCACTCCCTGAACTTTTTGGTCCCTCTTTCCACCATCTCCACAGCAATCTTCACATTTCTGCTTCAGTTAATTTGGATGATTCCTTTCTTTGAGAAGGACATTGACACTATTTCCCAGGGATCTTGCCAGAGTGTTAAATCCTGCATTATGGGCAAATGCTCCCATATCAATAAAATCTCTGTGGGAAGACCCCAGAATGGCCCCAGTGACCCTGGCCCTGCATTCATACCCCATGTAATGCCTCCCCTTGAGTGTGATCCACACACATGTCAAAATACATGGTGTTATATATGTGTGCTTATGCTACTTAAAGTCTTAGGTCTTGAACATAGGTCTTGTTAGCAGACTCTCCCTTGCTGGCTTTAAAGAAGCCAGCTACCATAGTATGAGTTGCCCTAAGCGGAGAGCCAGGTGGCAAGGTACTGAGGTGGTCTCGGGCAGACAGCCAGCAAGAAACTTAGGGTTTCAGCTTGATACCCTGCAAGGCTCTGAGTCCTTCCAGCAACTACATAGGCTTGGAAGTGGATCCTTCCACAGTCAAGCTTTCAGATAAGACCTCAGCCTCAGCAGCCTGGATTATAGCCTTGCAGAGGACCCAGAAAAGCTATGCTAGAATATCTGACCCACAGAAACTGTGAGAAAATAAATGTGCATTGTTTTAAACTACTAAGCTTATGGTGGTACAGTTACACAGCAATAGAGAACTAATATAATTTGTCTTACCAAACCTTATGTTCTGTCTACATCCCTACCTTTGATCTAGCACTCTTACGACTCCTTTC